TGCCTTGTTTTCAATATGTGGGCATCACTCAAATATCTGGAGGAAAGTTAATTTAAGGTAAATGTTTTACTATAGTTATAGTATATTAACTGAGGCCTCTCATTGTAAATTTTCCAGGTTTTTTTCCAGAAAAATTATGTACTTAATAGATTTGTGTAGGGTTCCTCACTGCCACTCTCACTCATACATTGGTTATGAACTGTGAAGTGCTGCCTGGCTCAGGTCCAGGTTATTTGAAGGACCACATTTCCTTATATGAGTCTGCCCATGTTCTAAGATTTTTGAAGGTGATCCTTCCCCTAGTCTCATCATCTTCCCAGGCACATTTGTTGAGAACAAGGGAGAGATCCTTTTTGATTGAAGGCTTTGAAAGTCCCATCCCAGGGAGACTAGAATTGGTAACTTGTTGCTGTCCTCCTATCATGAAATGAAAACCTTCCCATTCTGACAGGTTTCTAGGAACTGCCTTCATGGGTTTTTAATGGTATGCTGTTTTAATGGTATGTGGGTTTGTTGATTTTTATCTTTTGTCATTCAGTGGATTTGTTTAAAGGGTTTTAATGCTATGGATTGTTTAACTGTATTTTACTCAAAGAAGAAACCTGAGACAATTCTCAAGATGCTCAAAGGATTTTTTTTTTATTAAGAAGAAGGGGCTCTTTTTATATTTATTAAAACAACTATCCTTTGAACATTTTTAAACATTTATTCTGCAGATTTCATTGGATGCTTCTCCATGTCTGCTTCTTTTGACTTTTAACAATGAAGTTCATATGCTTTTACTTACCGTATGTCTTTTTTGTGCTTTCAATTTTACTTGTTTTAGTTTTTGTAAATTGCTTTGAATCCCATTATTGTGAAAAATATAAATGAATTAACCACTACAACTATCATTTTTGAAAGACATAAGAATGAGCATGAGACATAGCCTTCACATGAGCACAAGATGGTTTTGTTTTACTCAGGTGAAGACTTTCTTCTATAATGAACATTCCATGCACACAGCCTTTGTTACTTGCCTATTCATATAATATGGCCTTGTTTTTAGTTAAAGGACTGTGATTGCCTGTTCATATAATGTGGCCTTGTTTTTAAAGGACTGTGATTGCCAAGTGTTGGGTTGCTGAAGGTTGATAGGTAGTGTGCCAGGATTCTGTGACTTTCTGGGAGAAAAATGGGGCTGAATCCTCCAAAGAAAAATGATTAAAAAAAAATCAAAAGGAAACTCCAAAACAAAGGCAACTTCTGTAAAGCATGTCATGAGGGAAAACGTTCAAGAATTGTGACTGCGGGAGCTAATGAAGCTCAGAACAATCATTACCTAGTTCAGATTGATTACTGTTTTAAACTTTTGCAAGACTAGCAACAATGGAAAGACCCAGTGGAAATCAACACTTGTCATTCTCATGTTTAACAAGATTTTCTTTGCATTCCTATGAATGTGAAAACTTATTATATACAAAATTATTTGAGCATTTGTGACTGAGTCATACTCTGCTCAAAGGACTTGAAAATATCTGCAGCTGTTGTTGAATGTAATCCAGATCTTAATATAGCTGAGAATTAGCTATGTTTCTATTCTGTAAAACAAAGACTGGGATATAAATTCATGCAGGTGTGCAGTTTGGGTTTCTCTCCCTCCACAACAGTACATTTCTCTGTATTTTTTTAGAAGCTGCTTCCTAAGTCTCTTTGATACAATTTGTCTATTTTGAGTGGGGAACTGAGATGCGTTAAGGCAAGGGCTGGGGAGGATTATAGGCGGGCAAGTGCTGCCCCCTCTAAAATGATCTGGCAAAACTGAACTACCAAGATTCCTATGCTGTTGGGCTCTCTTATGAATTATCAATCAGAAGTGTACTAAATGATCTGGAGGTTAGAAATATTAAGACATCCTATGCATGTGGATACATGGAGCCCACTTCTAATGCATTGTGCTTTGTACTTGTAAGAGTCTTCACATTTAAGGATTTCAAAAATAATGGCTGCAGAGAGTAATTCCCCAAAGAAAAATGATTTTCAACAAAATCAAAAGTAAACTCCCAAAACAAAGACAAGTTCTGTAAAGCATATCCTCTTGCAAATATTTGCAATTAGGCAAAATTAACAACAATCTGCCTGCCAATGTTGACTTTCCCCAATTTAAAACAGTTTTAGAATCCCTGGGAACTGCTCTTGGAAGGGGATGCTTGACATCTCAGTCATAGAACTTCCTGTTTATCTGAAGGTTTCCAAGGTTGTGTTTCCACAGTAAAGTCATCCAATAAGGCACCTCACAGATTATGAGGGACCCACTGCCTGCCCCCCCGCAAAATGAAAGGGCCTACAGATGGAGAAAGCGAAGGTGGTTAGGTTTATGGAACTAAACTAGGGACACCATGTCCCATCCCCCCGCCTCTTGTGGCTCACTGAATAGCCAAGGGCATTGCTATTTTTTAGCCTAAATAACTTCATGGGATAATTGGGAGAAGGACATTAGATAAGTTTGTTAAACATGTCATAGTTGTCTGAAGGGAAGCATGGAAATGGGATGAAAAAGCTTGCTTGTCAGGTATTGCTCTTTCTTCTTGCTGATTTGTAGCACATAGTTGAGCATGGAACATTTGAGATGCTTGTACAAGGCTGTCAGGGTCAAAGACAGATGATGTTTGTACATTTTTAAATATCCCAACATTGCAGGAACAGAACTTGGGCTTTGTTTTGGATGCTAACTCCTAGAATCTCCTAGCCATCATGGAAGGACCCTAAACTGTTTCAGAATGTTCCTAAGTGCTAGGCAAGATATAAGGTAGCTACTGCTTCTCCAGCATCTTAGCTGCTTCCCTACCTTTTTGTTTGTCCTTCCCCAACCTGCAACCACTGATCAAGGATCCAGGTATATCACACAGCAATCAGAGGAGGTGGATCACAGGGCTAACTGGGAGTGGAAAATATGGCTGCCCCATCTCATGCCACATCCAGAAATTTAAAGGTACAGTTTGAGTCTCCCTTATCTGGAATTCTACAATCTGACCTATTCCAAAAACCAAAACATTTTTCATCGGTGACTGAGATAGTGACACCTTTGCTTTCTGATGGATCAGTGTGCACAAACTTTGTTTCATGCACAAAATTATTTAAAATATTGTATAAAATTACTATCAGGCTATGTGTATAAGTATACATGAAACATAAATGAATTGCGTGTTTAGACTTGGATTCCATCTCCAAGATATTTCATGATGTACGTTTATGCAGATACAGGTATTCCAAAATCCCCAAAAATCTGAAATCCAAAACTCCTCTGATCCCACACATTATATACATTTTCTCCTGTTCTGAAAGTGACTACCCTATTTCCTAAATTAACATATCAAAGTCAATTATAACAATGTTTATCAAGGTAAAAGTCTAAAATGCACTAGCTTGCCAGTTTTGCATTTCTCTAGCTGCAGTCTCACTTCCACTGACCCAGAAGTCCCAGGGAACACTACATGATTTTTGTGTAGACTTACAGAGGACTACACTTTGACTTGTCTTCTCAAAGCTCAGTTTTCAGGAAATTCTGAAAATTACTAAAAACACAGAAGGAAATAAAAAAATAGCATTTGTTCTATAATTATCATTCTCATGGTCATTATCATTACTGTTATAGCTGGGAATAAAATTCAGAAAACTGCAATGTAATATTTTCTTTCCCCCAACATTTTAAGAATTTTAAAGATAGATTACAATTTTCAGAAATTAGTAGAAGAAAATAAATAAAAGAAAAAAAAGAAAAGGTGAAAAAATAGAATAGCTGTAATTTTTACATAGAAAGGTATGATTAACAATATGTTTATATAACCAGATGATATGAAATCATTTCCCCCCCCCTTTTTCCTTTAACATTTTTTTCTTGTTATTTTCTTCTAATTTCCATAGTTTTTAATGTATTTTTAAATATTTAAGTTAAAATGTTGGGAAAAATTGCTAGGAATCTTGATGGACTGCCTCTGCATCATAATGCAAAGCACATTATGTTTATCACAAATGAACAATTATTTACTTCAAAGAAAGACTCCCTCTTGTGTATGAATATATGAATTACTCTTCTGTTGGAGAAATAAAAAACCAGTGCTATCATTTCTCAGGGCCCTAATGATTTGAGAGAGCTGGTTTATAGCATGAACTGTTCTAGGGTATGTTATGAATCACAAACAGTGTTAAGTGGCATATTAAAGTATTTTTTTTAAAATCAATTTTATGGATTTTAAAAATGGAACCTCTGAGAATAGGATTTTATGATCCCAGCAACGGAACTTCTGCACTTGCTATTGTTTCTTCTTCATATGTTGTCCTTTTTGACAAACAAAAACATAACATTCTAGTTTCTGAAGAGGTGAGTTTAATTTTAAAGTCTCTCTTTTCTTTGTGTACAGTTATGAATGTTAATCAGTGTGAGATTAGTGCAGCTTCCTTGGAATCAATGCATCTGCAAATAACTTATACCAGTGTCAATAAGGAACTGAAAGAGTCAGTGTTAGCACTGTATTTCTTATTCTATGTACCGCTGTCTAAGCACCTTATTAAAACCTTGGTATAGATTTCAATGGACTCTTCTCCTTTGCCTTTTTACATGAGCATTGATTTTGTAGACACTGTGTCCTTTTAACATTTGTTACATCAACTTCTCCCATGTCAGATTTTGGGGAGCATATGTCTTTAGAGACAGGGCCCTGTTTTTTATAATATGCCCGGTACGTTGATGCTGCTATATAAATGATAAGGATTCCCACTTCTGCTCTAATATTGGTGTTCATGTTCAAGAGTCTAGCCAGCTAAAACAGGAACAGCACAGAACTCTTCCTGTGATTTTTTTACTTGTTGTTGTTGAGTAGCTTTGAGACATTTCTCACTTGCGACTAAGGTGAGCCTATCACAGGGTTTTCTTGGCAAGATTTGTTCAGAGTAGATTTGCCTTTGTCTTCCTTCAAGGCTGAGGAAGACTGACTTGCCCAAGATAATCCAGGGGTCTTCTCTGGCCAAGCAGGGATTCGAGCCCTGGTCTCCAGTGTCATAGTCCAGCGCTCAAACCGCTACACCATTCCGGCTCCCAACTTTGCACTAGCCACTCCCTTATTCTTGTTTGGTTTCCAGTCTGATAATCAGCCATGCATGTTCATTATTGATGATGATGCTAATGACTTAATACAAATGATGCTGTGCTGGGAGATTCTGGGAGTTGTAAATCATGAAAAGTAACTCTTCCACCCACATGTTATGGGTGCATGTAGAGCAAAGGTATAGCTGTTTGATACCTCCAGGATTCCAATAGATGAACTGAACTCTGCTCAAACTGGACACTTGTGCATCTTTTCAAAGACTGCTGTGACTGACAAGCATCTCTTTACAGTTCCAGACAGATATTTCCTGACACCTGCTTTTCATGCCTTTTTTCACGCATGCTGTCTGCCACCAAGTCATGGTCCCTTCTATTTGTTGTGATGAATTTGGGCCAAACTAGAGAATATGATTGTCTATGTGAAGTTTTGAAAGCTGGACAGTAGAGAAAGCTGGCATAACGAGAATCAACTTATTTGAAATGTGGTGTTGGAGTAGAGTTGTATGGATACCTTGGACTGCCAAAAATGGTAATCAGATGAGTCCAAGAACAAATTAAGCCTGAACCCTCTCTACAAGCCAAAATGACTAAACTGAGACTGTCTGTACTCTGGACATATGTTGTTGCTGTTGTTGTTGTTGTTGTTGTTGTTGTTAACTGCCTTTGAGTTGACCTTGACTCATGAGACTCTGTGGATGAGACCTCTCCAAGCCCCTTCCCTTTCCTCCACTGCTCTGCTTAAGTCTTGCAGATTCAGGACTGTGGCCTTCCTGATTGAGTCTATCCATCTGGCATGCGGCTTTCGTCTCTCTCTACTGCCTTCTACCTTTCCTAGCATTATTGGCTTGGATCAGGGGTAGGCAACCTGTCCCCTTTAAGGGCCGAGGGACTTCAGCTCCCAGAAGCCTTAGCCATGTTAGCCAATAGTCCCATGTTGGCCAATAGCTCCTGGGATTCTGGGAGCTGAAGTCCCTCGGCCCTTAAAGGGGAAAGGTTGCCTACCCCTGGCTTGGATGATTCTAACTTTAGTGCTCACTTGTATATCTTTGAAGATCTAGGTCTTTCATGGCTGCCCTTCCCATTCCTAGTCTTTGTCTTATCTCTTGACTGCAGTCTCCACTCTGATCAACGTTTCATTCAAGGTACAAGAAATCTTTAACTATTTTGATTTCCTCATTGTGTAGGTTGAATTTATGTAGGTCCTCCATGGTTATTATTTTTGTTTTCTTTATGTTCAGCAGCAACCCTGCCTTTGGACTTTCTTCCTTGACCTTCTTTAGTTCCAAGTCTATGATGTTTTTTGCTAGTAATATGGTGTCATCCACATATCTTAGATTACTGATGTTCCTTTCTCTTATTTTTGTATGATGTTTTCTGCATACAAGTTGAAGAACTAAGGTGATAACATACAGTCTTGCCTGGCTCCCTTGCCAATTAGGATTTCTGTTTCTCAATATTCTCAATATTCTGTTCTAACAGTAGCCTCTTGTCCTGATTACAGATTTCTCATCAGAACTATCAAATGTCACAGGACTCCTATGTCTTTGAGAGCATTCCATTGCTTTTGGGACATATATTGAGATGATGTTAGAAAATTAACAAATTTTATGATGAAATGAAAATGATGCTAGATATTAGAAAATTAGAAAAAACAAGAATGCTCAGTAAAATAGAGGCAGTGGGAAAAGAGGAAGGCTACATTACAGGTGGAAAGATTCAATCAAGGAAACCACAGCACTTAGTTTGCAAGACCTTAGCAGGGCTGTTAAAACAGAGTCTCTTGGTGGTCTGTTATTCACTACATTGCCATACATTGAAGCCAACTTGATGGCAATCAATGACAACAAAGACGCTACCCTACCCACTATTCATGGTGTTAGCAATTGTAGTATTAATAAAAAGTATTATTAAGTGTGCTGGGACAGATTCAGATGGATGCATGTGTATATGCATTTGGGCTACTATGCTTTCACACTTTTCACCTTGCTGTGGCATTAGCCCAAATTACTTCATACCTGCATTGGGTAGTCTCATTCAGACCAACATGACAACACAGGCAAAGGGATAAAGCCCACCCCATCTTCTGCCTGAGTTCTATACCTCGTCTATTCATTACTGCCAACAATTGATTCCACAAATGCCATTCACACAGTTGCAGACTGAATAGTGTTACTTTAATTTGTCTCCTCTGTATGTTGTTATAAATACAGCAATCTTATCACAGGAGAAACAAGCAACTCCCCACCCAAAGCAATGGAATCTAAAGGTTTGGCAGGCACATGTACAATGTATGGGCCCATTATATCATATATAATATGTCAATGTCCGTCAGTGTGACTATGCAGTGAACTGGTCAGAGATAAAGGTGGCTCTTCTGAAGTGTTCAACTGCACATGCCTGGAATGGTGTAATGGAGAGTTCCTTTGAAAAGTAGACAAGCCACTGTACAGGGTAACCCATAATCCTCACTGCCAAGTGGCAGAATGAGCATGAAATGTCAGTAGAGGCAAGCACAGTGAAATACATATCTGACTTCTATGAACTTACTCATGATTGTTGCTAATCCAAACAATATAGTACAGGGAGACAATGTTTCCATCAAATAACCTACAGTCATGTTAAATACACATATTAGAAGGTTCTATTTTTAAACCACAACAAATAGGTAACAAATTTGATGTGGGTACTTAAAGGGTATATATGTATCGTCCTACTAACCACCAGAGCCCTCTGCCAGCAGGAAATGTGGCATGAATTTCACTGGCAAACCCACATCAGATAAGTTGGTGGTGAGACTGTAGAATAATAAGTGAATTGTTATCTGTGTTGCAGAATGCTGTTTTAAGGACTGAATGGAGAATGTGCACATATTACCAATGAAAATAAAAAACTGTACATTGACTCTGCAATCTAGAAAGATGGACAGTGTATTATACATTTTTCCCCGTCAATATACAGACTCTCTAAATGGAGAATGTGAATAACAAATAGGTAGCATCTAAGTGCAGCACCACTGACAGTCAGATGAGTAAATGTATGGTGAGTATTCACTGGGCAATATCTAAAATGACATCTTGAAGCTATTTATTTATTTACTTATTTTTATCCTGCCTTTTCTTGGGACAGGATCTGCTCACTAAAAGTCCTGTGGCATCTTAAGGACTAATGAATTTATTATGGTGTTTGTGGATTGCAGTCTAGTTCACTCAATCCACAAAAGTTAAATAAATAGGGAGGCACACTAAGTACAAAATTCAGTTTGGACTGGTATTCTTGTTGCTTCTGCTCAGACTACTCTAGAGATCGTCTGTTCAACTCATGTCCTTATTTGCTTTTGGTTTCTTGCAAAATGCAGCTTGATATGCCTGAGATATTTTTCCAGTGCTCATTTTCTAAATGCGTCTTTTGAAAACTAGCTTATTTAATTTCCTGACGAATTGTTTGGTAATATTGTAAAGAAAATGAATGAATGGTATCTGCAGATGGAAATAAAATATTCATATTAAGGCTTAAGCAGCATTTAATAAGGGAAATGCAAAAGGCTGATGGGCATATTGAGTATAAAACTTTCATTGATTAGACATTTGTGAAGGTCGCTGCCATCTAGTGATCAGATGTTGAAGATGCTGTAAGATGCCAGGCTATATAATGCAACCTAGCAGATTTTCTTTTTTATTTTCTGTTTGACATTTATCAATTAGAGGAAGGGGGAAAATAAAAAAAGGTGTTCTATGTTTTGTAGTGGGTATACACATGGAAAAATATAGAGTTGGTAATAATTAAGGTATTTATTTGCAGGCACAGACATTGTAGGATAAGAGAAAATGGAGAAGAGGTATTGGTGTTTTTTTTTTTTTAGTACATCTGCTTTGTTACTGTTGTGTACCTTTAAGTCATATGATCATTGACTGCAATAAAATGATAGATTGAATGAATGATTGATTGATACCTTTAAGTCATTTCTGACTTATGGTGATCCTAAGGTGATCATGAGGTTTTCTTGGCAGGGTTTGTTCAGAGGGGGGTGGGTGGGTGGGTTGCCATTGCCTTCCCCTGAGGCTGAGAGAGGGTGACTTACTCAAGGCCATCCAGTTGGCTTTCATGGCTAAACTGGGATTTAAACCCTAATCTCTAGAGTCATAGTCTAATGCTCAAACCACTACACCATGTTGGCTCCTAGGGATGAAAATAATATTTGCAATTTTTTGTTTTCAGATTGAAAAACATATTTTCTGATAGTCTGGAAACATGATTGTGAAGAATAATAGAGCAATGAGACATTTGTGCAGTTTTCTCTTGGTATTTGAATATACCAAAGTTTTGGAGAGGAATTGAAGAGAAAAACACTTTTTTTTCTGCCGAAATGATGTTTTCTGCACAGAAAGTGGGGTTTTCTGTACAGAAAACACTGTTTCCTCTATAGAAAATGTTTTTTCCCTCTACACAACAATTGGGATTTGGGTTGTTTGAGCATGGGGAGAATACTGTGGAGAAATATTTGTTTTTTTTTTTTTCATGTGGGGAGAAATCCATAGCAGTTATCAATCCTTGCATATAAAATAGTCAAGAATTTGTATCCTTAGCATCTATATTACACAAATATAGCTGTCTGATAGTGCTTTAGCAGCCTTGGGTCCTTCCTATGGAATCTTGGGATCTGGAGTTTCACGAGAGACTTAGAATTCTCTGCTAGACAGCACTAGTCCTTTATCCTAGACTACAGCATTAGTGCACTCTAACAGTAGAATATAAATACCTCACTAAATCACAGTTCCATAAGATGGAACCATGGCTGTTAACATTGTTCCACATTGCTACAGCTGTGTAGGGTAGATATAGGTCATAATCCTGCATTGGGAGATAGACAATAAAGTCCCATCAAAGTTGAACTATGTCTGTCCTACACCACTGAAAACCCACCTGTTTTTCCTGTCCCCACAGCACAGCCATGCAGCTGAAAATCCTCTATGTTGCTATAGGCAGATACAGAAGGACAGTTTTGGAGGAGTCAAAATGTATGGGCAGGATACCACAGGCCAACTCTGTGGTATCCTGCTCATGGATCTGGCCCGTTCTCCCCCTGGCACCCACCTAGGCTAGTGTGGCTATGGGTGGGTGCTCAGCTGCCTGCCTGCTACTGCACTATGAAGCCACCATCTCTGCCACCATCTTGCCAGTTGTCACCACCATTCCATATGAAGGCCCTCACCATGGCCCTTAAGGGCAGAAATGGGATGATTGGCTGATCTTTTTTAGGCCAGGATAAGGGCAGTTTGGGCCAGATCAATTGGATTGGTGCCTGGTCTGCCTGATCCTAGCCTGGAGCTGTTAGCCTGCATCATCTAAATACGACAACACCAGACCAGGGGGAATATGGATCTTGTGGCCCATGCGTACAGCCCTGAGGAGTCCCGGGTGGTCTTGGAGAATGCTTTCATAGCCACATGTCTGCCAAAAAGGTAGGAAGGTAACCCTTCACTAATTTTCTTTTCATATGAAGCAACATGTAATTTTAGAAATTTTCTACCCACTGAAACAAAGTCCTTGAAAACCATACAGTTTTTGGAGCATATTCAGAATTCACTATCTGTGATGATTTTATGATGTAAACCGCCCTGATTGTTCTCAGAGGGGCGGGGTATTAAATAAAAATTATTATTATTATTATTATTATTATTATTATTAATTCTGTACAAAATTTGGATCCTGCTGTTTTGAATACCAAATAGCACTTTCTGTGCAGAAAATAGCATAATATTTATCTATTGAAATATTATTTCGAGTAGAAAAAGCTGTACCCTGCACAGCTTTTTTTGCAAAATGAAGCCCCAAATTAAAGCATTTTTAATGCAAGAAAGAGCTTTTTCTTCACTGGAAACAATATTTCTATATAGAGATATACTTTTTATGCAGAAAAAGCTGTTTCCTCCATTAAAAAAATGCTGTTCTCTGTTCAAAATTCACAGGCAAATTTTGTGCAGAATAAATCCCAAACTGTGAAGATTCTCATCATCCAGGATTCAGGTTGTCAGTGTTTCTTAACTTGAAAACCATGCTTTTGATCATGTTTTGAATAATACAGACTGTGCATATTTTGAATTTTAAGTTTAGTTCATTCAGGACTTTGATTTTTTAAAATTCACATGAGAAGCATATGCCTTTTTATGCACAATTTTTCCTAAGTTTCATTTTGTATGAAACTTTGCTTAGCAAGCGATTTTTTGTAAGCTATTGTCCTAACATAACTGTTATTTTTATTTTCATAAACATATGCATTTCTATGTGCAATTTCCCAAAATGTACACATTTTGTAGGATTTTTTTTTACCCCAACACAATCTATTGATGAAATAAAAGAAAACATGAAACAAATAAACACAAGATTAGAGACATTAGAAAAAAAAAACAACAACCAAAGGACATGGAAAAATCTACAGCTTATTTGAAAACATTGCAAGAACAAGAACTGGACACTAAAGCTTTAGAGGAGCTGAAAATCAGGGAAAACTGCCTTTAACTAAGAGGAGTTAAAGAGTTAAAAATCTGCATGATTATATGGCGACAATTTTGGCAGAGTATGTGGGATTAACAAAACTAGATCTCTATAAACCATAAAAAAAATGGTACAAAGTAAACACAGTGCAGGAAACTTCAGAATTTTGGAAAAATACAGGAGAGAGATACAGAATACCTTTGTGAGAAGACCTAAAACAAAGAAAGAAGAAGGAAAGAATGCTAAAAGAAACACTGGGACAGAAAAAAAGAAAGAAGAAAAAACCAATTAGATAAGCAAGAAGATAGAAAAAGAACATTGGAAGAAGGAGACCATTCTATAGATGAAGACAGGAGGCAGAAGAGGAAGAAAAAGAAATAAATTCAGAAATCAGCTCAATAGAAAAAGAGGAAGAAAAATAAAAGGGTAATAAAATTAATTAGATAAAGACTCAAGGGAGGAAGGGGTAGTCTGTATCTTATTTCCACTTTCATCTTCCTACTTGTTTTTTTTCCTTTTTCTTTTTTAAAACATAATTTCCATAGGAAAGGAAGAGAGAAGTAAGACAAAATGATAATCTGATAAGAACAGACACTATATGAATATGGTTGAATGAATGAAGTTAAAATGTATAATGTATCAAAATCCTTTAATATCAATAAACATTTTCATGGAATGTGAACAGATTAAATGGTCCAGTAAAGAGAGGTAAATTTTGTCATTATTTGGTGAAACTAAAATTAGATGTGGTCTGTCTACAATAAACCCATATCAGGAAACAGGATAAAGACTACTAAAATGTGAAATTAGATAAAGAATACAGCACTTCTGCTAAAAAAAAAAGGAACAGGGAGTGGTGAGCTATGTAAATAATAAATTACAAAGTAGAGAAATTATAAATGATCACGATGGACAATTCATTGGTGTAGAAACTGCATTACAAAACAAAACAAAAATTAATAATTGGATTATACTCTCCTCAAACTAGAAAATGGAATTTTTTACAAAACATTCAAGATGAAATAATAAAAAAGTATATGAAGACATGATTATAATGGGAGACTATAATGGAGTAATAGACCCCATGATTGATAAGAGCTCAGATAAAAATAATAAAAAAAGATGGGAAACTTCCCAATATTTTAAAATTTAGTAAAGACATAAATTTGGTGGATATTTGGAGATTTACTCAAATAAGAGAAAATACACCTTTTTTCAGATAGGCACCAAACAATCAAGAATAGACAAGATTTTGATCACTAAGGGCCTTTACAGATTGCCAGAAATAATGCAGCTTGAGTCCACTTTAACTGTTTAACAACTGTTGCTCTCCATTTGCAAGATGACCTTTTTCAGGCAAATAACTTCATTCCAAACTTCACTTTTATTTTTTAACTCTTTATACATAGATAATCCTCTCCCACTCCTTGCTCTAAAACTATTACTGAAGTGCTGTTATCCCCTCCTTCACTCCCCTGAATGCAAATGGCTCTTGCAACTTCCCCACTCTTGCACGACTATTAATATGCCACTATTTCTTGTTTTGAATGTACAATTGGGCCTTGATTTTCACAGCTTTGACACTCACAGCTTTGATTATTCATGAGTTTGTTGCTGTGTGTATGTGCGCTCCTTCTTCTCCTTCCCAGGCTTTTTCCTGAGGGGGGGTATCAGGGGAGCAGATGGGGTGTACCTCCCTCCTGCTTTCCCTCTGGTGCCTTGGCCAGCTTGCCTGGGGTGCCTGGGGTGGGGTGGGTGTAGGTGGTTTGTGTGTATGTGCATGCTGTTCTCACTTCTCTGATATCTTGACAGGCTTGCCTAGGGTCTCCGTGTAGCCTTCATATATGGTAATATCTGATCACCTGTATTGTTAATTAATTCCTCTCATCTTTTAGATGGGTATCCTTATATCCTCCAGTTCATCCTCTCCCCTTTCTATCTTTGATTACTGAGATCTAGCTCCCCACATTTTATGCCAATAATGCTCACCCTCAAAACCCTAGAGGAGATCACCATTCAGTGGCTCAATCGAGATGTGGGACTCACTTCACGTACTCCTCCTCTTGGTTTGCTTCTGTTGTTGTTTGTATTGTGTTATGGTTAACTGTATTTTTGGGCATTGGTATGTATATTTCTTAAGCTGGAGCCTTATGAGTCCCCTTCCTCCATGCTCATGCTTTAAAAAGCTTGGGTTTGAAGGGCACTGCATACTGTACATAAGAAAAATGTTGAAGTCTTTTCTAAGTGTTTTTAGTTAGAGTTTAATTATTGCAAATGTGGACAAAATTAAGATTGTCTCTCTCAATGTCAGAGGACTTGGATCCCCCCCCCAACCTACCTGGGTTAATAATTATTTGAAAAAACCTAAACAAAATATTGTTGTTGTTGTTGTTGTTTTACAAGAAATGCATAGAAAGGGCACAGGAAACATTCTAGCACAATCTCCCTTTGACTCGCAATATAAAATTAAAAATTCTAACAAATCCAGAGGGGTTGTGATATTATTTGGTAAAACATGTCCTTTTCAGGTTGACAAAGTAATCTCGGACCCTTTGGGTTGTTGTTTAATATTCAAAGGCAGGGGTAGGCAACCTTTCCCCTTTAAGGGCCAAGGGACTTCAGCTCCCAGAATCCCAGGAGCTATTGGCCAACGTGGGACTATTGGACAACATGGCTAAGGCT